TTGACTTTAAATAGTTCCTGACTTGCCACTGGCAATGGTGGAGTGGAAAGGACCAGATTTGCCCTTCCTCTTTAAATACCCAGGGAAACAGACAAAATACATGAAACAGTGGTTTTTTGGACATTGTACAATCTAGAGCAGAACTGTGTTTGCTGAGGTAGTAAAAGCAAATGTGGGAAGCCCCGTGACATTTCCAGGGAACTGCCTGGAGGCATTACTGGCCACAGAGCAGAGAGGGGAGACCCCAACAGAGCTCAGCGTTCACAGTTCAGAGGCACAAAGGTATAATGCGTAAGGAAAAACATCAGTTGCAGGTGCTACACAGACATAAAGATATATGGGGAATTTTCTCTGAAAACAGTTATATTAGAAATCAGTAACACAAAGATACTTGAAAAAAATTGCCAAATATTTGGAAGTTAGAAACCAAACTCAGAACTGAATGAAGGTGTATATATGTTATATAAAAATTGAAGTGATATTGCTAAATATGCTTAAAAGGAAAATTATTATTATATGGTATCATATAGGCTTACATAAGTCTTTATTCTAGAAATTGCTAAAGTCTCAAATCAGTGATACAAGATTTTTCCTTAAAAAATTAAATCTAAAATAAATATAAACTAAGAAGAAATAAAGAGCAGAAAGCCATGAAATAGATAAGAAAAGAAAGCAAAGGAGATAGATCAGGGCCATCAAAGTTAGTTCTGTGAAAGAATCAAAATGTGTAAGACTCGCTTGAATCTAACTGGGAAGAAAGGACAATCATGCAGACGAGCAGTATCAGGAGTGAAAGAAGACAGCACCCAAGAAGGAACTATTATGAACAACTTTATAGTAATAAATAATTAAACAACCTAGACGAAATATAAAGCATTGTTATAAAGATATACATACCAGAGCTCACTTAAGAAGGCATAGGTCATATTCCTTACCTATAAATTGAATTGATGAAAAACCTTATCAAAGTGCTAAGATGGTTTATCCAGGCTAAGATGGTTTCATTAGTGAATTACACTAAACATTTAAGACACAATGCAAATCCTACCCGCATCCCCCCAGAAAATAGATGCAGAGGGAACATTTTCTAACTCATCCTATGAAGCCAGAATTACCATAAAAAAAAAAAAAGAAATCCTGTCATTTTGTCACTTGAAACAAGATGGACGGAACTGGAGGGCATAGTGTTAAGTGAAATAAACCAGGCACAGAAAGACAAATGTCGTGTGGCCTCATTCACATGCAGAAGCTAAAACAGTTGACTTCACAGAAGCAGAAAGTCGAACAGGGGCCACGAGAGGGCAGGAGGGCCCCAGGGAGGTCAGATAATTTACACCAAACTATAGTTACATAGGAGAAATAAATTCCCATGTTCTAGAGGTAACCATACACTACAACTACTTATTATATATTCTATTTTTTGGAGACAGGGTGTCACTATGTAGTTGAGACTGGCCTTGAACTCACTATGTAGCCCAGGCCGGCCTCAAACTTGTGGTGATCCTCCTGCCTTGGCCTCCCGAGTGTTGTGATTATAGGCATGTGCCACCACGCCCAACATATTATGTATTATTTAAAGAACTAGAAAACAGGTGTTTGAAGCTTCCTAACACAAAAAAAGAGAGATGTTTAATCAGATTCAAATGATAATTATCCTGTTTTGATAATCACACATGTTGTACATGTATCAAATTTTTACAGGGCATTCTGTAAATATGTAGAATTATAATTTAAAAAATAGAACAATACTATTGTCCCAGTAGTATTACAGTAAAAAATTTGACCAATTCAAGTTTTATTCATACTAAAAATTCTCAGTAAAATGGAACTTCTTCAGTCTGATATAAAGCACTGACAAAAAAAAAGAAAAGAAAAAAAAGATAAAACAACCAAGCTTTCATCTTGATGGCAAAAGATTAACTGCTGTCATGTTTGGAAAAATGCAAGGTATTTCTTAGTAATATTTCTATTTGCTACTCAGAATTTTACTGATAGTTTCAGCCAATACAATACTTTAAAAAAGGAAAAGAAAAGAAATTAAGTGTATTCAGATTAGAAAGGAAAGGTACAGTTGTATTTATCATAAATGGCATGATTGTCCATGTAGAAAAAAACTAAAAGAATCTACAATACAGCAACTAGGACTCATCACTAAAAAGGAATTAGCAAGTTCACAGAAGGTGAGGTAAATATATGGAATTAATTGTATTTCTATATTTTAGCAAAGAATAACTGAAAGTTAAAATTCCAAATTATCATTCATAAGTGTTTAAAAATGCGAAAAACTTTAAAGCAAACTTAACAATAGATTTTCAAGTCTTGTACACCAGAAGCTTCAAAACTATGCTGAGGGAGCCAGGTGGGTGCCCAGGCTGGTAATCCAGCACTCCGGGAGACGGTGGCAGCACTGCCGCGCGAGGCCTGTGTGAGCAACTGAACACTGTAGTCAGACCCTCTCTCAGAATAAGAAACTAAAGATGGAGCTAGGGATGTGCCTCAGTGTGACGGCCTGAGGTTCCGGCCCTAGGACTGGGGAGGGATAAATGGAGAGAAACGGGTTATAGGATTAGCTATTGTTTTGCTTTTAATTATCCTCCAGATTCACTTGACGATTCATTATAACCTCAATTATAATCCTAGCCGGTCTGCATAGATTCTAAAATCAATATAAAAACAAACAAACAAACAAAAAACTAGAATAGTCAAAAAGTTTTTGAAAAAGAGCAGCAAAAGTAGAGGGCCTGTTCTCCGCAAATTTAAGTTTCAACATACTGTCCAGCTATACTCATCAGGGGAGATGTGGTGCAGGCCTCCAGTCCCTGGACTCTGGAGTGGAGGGAGGAGGGTCACAAGTTCGAACCCAGGCTGGGCAACTTAGGGAGAGCCTATCTGAGAAAAAAAAAAAAAGGACCAGGGAATCTAGCTCAGTGTGAAGGCCTTGGGTTCAATCTCCAGTACTGTAAGAAAGGAAAAGAAATGTGTTTGCAATAAAAATAGAGATACAAATCAAGGACCACACTATATAGCAAAGACAGAAATACAGACCCACATGTACACGAACAACTGATTTTCGAAAAAGATATTAAGGCAATTTAATCGGCAAAGAATAGTCTTCTACATAATTCACATGACTAATTGAGTATTCATGGGCAAACAAATGGATTATAGACCTAAATCTTAAAGCTTAAAACTTCTAGGAGAAGATATAAGAGGAAACTCTGTTAAACTAAGATTTCCAAGAGCACAAAAAATGTGAACCATAAAAGGAGAAATTGTTAAATTACACTAAGTTAAAATTAAAATCTTTTGGGCCTTCGCGCTTCTCCTCCAGGCGCCTTTCCAGAGCCTGCTGGACGCCCAGGAGGATGAGGCCATGCTAGATCACCCAGACTTGAAACATATCGACCCAGTGGTTTTAAAACATTGTCATGCAGCAGCTGCAACTTACATACTGGAGGCAGGAAAGCACGGAGCTGACAAGTCAACCCTGAGCACCTATCTAGAAGACTGTAAATTTGACCCAGAGCGAATAGAACTGTTTTGCACAGAATATCAGAATAATAAGAATTCCCCAGAACTCCTACTGGGAAGTATAGGCAGATCTCTCCCTCATATAACTGATGTTTCTTGGTGCTTGGAATATCAGATAAAGACCAATCAACTTAATAAGATGTTCAGACTTGCATATTTGGTGACTCTTAATGTAGAGAACACTGATTCCCAGTCCTACCCAGAGATTAGTTTTAGCTGCAACATGGAACAATTACAGGACTTAGTTGGGAAACTTAAAGATGCTTCAAAAAGCCTGGAGAGAGCAACTCAGTTGTAAGCTGGAGAAGTTAAGGATCCTCCCGAGCCTAGAGGAAAACCAGAAATGCCTTGAATCATCATTGGTGCGATCTGGATGTCCTCATTTTCAGTAGAAAAAAAAGTTTCCTCTTGAATTTGCCATTAATTGACTTTTTTTTTTACATACGTGAAAGAGTTGAGAATTCTGTGCATTTGACCCATCTTTGGTATTACCTGTACATCTCCTGTTTTGATCTTTTTCAAGTCTTATGAAAAGAAATTTACACCCTGAATAAATAAGGTGTTGTTCCCATGAAAAAAAAAATTAAAATCTTTTGGAGCTGGGGATTTAGTTCAGTGGCAATGCGCCTGCCTGGGAAGTGCATAGTCCTGAGTTTGATTCCCGGTACTGGAAAAGGAAAAAAAATTAAAATCTTTTGTTCTTCAAAAATCACACTTAGAGGGCAGAATGTGTAGCTCAGGGCAGAGCACTGGCCTACCACATGGAAGGCCCTGGGTTCGACCCCAGTACCATACACACAAAACTGTCACACACTTGAGAAAATGCATAGTTAAGACACAGACTAAAAGACCCTTTCTAAAACTGTATCTAAGGATGGACTTGCATCTGTAACAGACGAAGAATTCTTACTAATAAGTAATGAGACACGCTGATTAGGAATTGCAGTCAATTCATTAAAGAAGACTTACAATTTTCGGATAAACACATGAAAAGATGCCCAGCATCGTTGCTGATTAAGGAAATACAAATTTCAATCCCATTAGAACAGCTGAAATTACAAATATGAACAGTACCATGCATTGGTGAGATTGTGAAGCAAATGGAGCCCTCACCCATTGCTAGTGGAAATGCAAAATGATACAACTACCCTGGAAACCAGTTTATCAGTCTCTTATGAAATATTGTATGCCGTTACCTTATGACTCAGCAATTCCACTTCTAGGTTTTTACTAAGTGAAATTAAAATATATGTCTACACGTAGATGTACTCAAATATTATTGCAGCTATATTCAGAAAGCCTCAAAACTGAAAGCAACTCAAATATCCATCAGTTACTAAATGAATAAAATAACTCCACAAAGACCAATTCAGAAATAAAAAAAGAATATACTCCTGATCAAATAAAACAACAGATAAATGTCAAAAGTATTGTTATAAGTATAATTAATGAGACGCTGAAAACGACTATTTACTTTATGCTTCCATTTATTTAGGACTAGGAGGAACGAGAAGACTGACTGAAAAGGGCATAGTGAAAGCTTGGGGTGGTAAAACTGTTCCATACTATGATGATGCTTAGGAAAATGCATGTATTTATCAAAATCTGTGAAACTGCACACTTAATATTTGTCAATTCATTACTTGTAAGTTTAATAAAGTTTAATAAACTTTGTAAGTTTAATAAAGCTGATGAAGATAAATTAAAACATAGTTTTGGAGAATTTGAACTATCGAAATTTTTAAAAATAATTGATGCTAATTTTTGTTTATGGGTATCTATGAGACCACCACTCAGAGTGCGATATAACACATGGCCCTCTTCAGAGGGCCCCATCCTGCACTTGCTGAGTTAATACTTTCTCACCAAGAAACTGCTACTGATTGAGGTTGTTATTTTCTTTTTTTGTACTGTATAAAAATGGAATGGATGCAATGTAAATTCTTTAATCTCTGCCTTCTTTGCTCAATGTTAAGTAGACAACTGTGGCTTATTCATTGCTATGTAATGTTTTAAATATGATATTACAATGTGCTAATTCTGTTTTCATTGTTTTATTTTATGAGTGAAGCTAAGAACATTCTTGTACATCTTTTAGGGGATATAAACACATATTTCCATTGGTTTTGTACATAGAAAAAGAGCTGGGTAATAGGATAAACATGCATTCAGCTTTATAAATACTGGCAAACAATTTGCCAGAATGGCTATAAAATTTTACTCTTCCTACGCAAAATAGGAGGATTTTAGTTTCTGCCCATGCTTGACTATACTTGGTGTTGAAAGTTAATCTTGCAGTTTGATCTTACATGTACCAATTTTATCAAACTACCTTATTAACTAATAAAACAGGAGTTGCTTGGATTTCCAGATAATCAGTAATGACGTTTTTATTTCTTCCTTTGAAATCACTTTGCTTTTTGCTCCTTTTTCTTGTCTTGTTTTGATGGGTAGTCTCAATAGTACAATGCTTCAAAGGAATAGGTCTTTCAAAGAAAGGACTTGGGTCTTGTTCTTGAACCTAAAGGGAATTAATATTACACTTTAAGTTGTAATATTTACCATAGATTTTTTGTACATATTCCTTTTGTCCAACTTAAGTATCCAGTTTTATTTGTCTTTTTTCTTCATAGAACGTGTTTATTTTCATTTAACAGTGTGATTAAAGCCCAAAAGCAAGCTGGAGCTCTGAGAAGCATCCATTTTTAAATTGATAGCACTTAAAAAGTTTTGACTGCTGAATTTTATTACAATGTTCTTTGCTTTTACTTTTAAATCTTTTGGGGTTTTTTCATATAGGGTTTTTTCTCTAAACTATTAGTGGAATGGTTTACATTAATACATTTAAACTGATTATGGTCATGGGTACATTTTGATTTATTTATATTCTTCGGGTTTGTCCATTGTATTTAGTTCAGTTTTTTCTTTTTTCTTTTTTTAATTTAGACATTTTTTTCTTTCTAATAATTCTTTTTCTCTACAAGTTTGGACATATACATTCTATTTTTTATGTTTACCTTATAAGTTTAAAGATAAATGTTTTTCTTCTTTCTTAAAAATAATTATAGGGATTCTAGAAAACATTATTTCAACCAACTTTTCTTGTTTGTGGTAGTGGGATATACAGTTTAATTGATCCTTGACACTGTCTTTCATTAAATCTTTCAAGTTAAACATCACTGTCAGTTTATTAGTTTGTTAAGAAATTTACAGTTGCTTTTTAGAATGATCCATGTTTATTTAAGGCTTAAAGCCATTCAATCATAATTTATAATAGCACTGCATATAAAGTAGGTACTATTTGTTACATTTGTATTTTCTTAGATATCCTGTATTTATTATGCAATTGAAAATGAGATTTTCAAATTGCACTTTGTATTTGTTGCTATTATATGGAAATATAATTGACTAAAAATTATCAAAGTGTAACCGCACAGTAAAATAAGCAAATGATACTCTCAAATTTTCTGAGGTATATAGAAGTATCTCCTTTGAGTGAAGTTTTGGTTGGTAGAATACGCCTTCAGGTTTTTATGATTTTTAAAAAAAGTCTTTCTTTTACTTTACTCTTGGTACATTGTCTAGCATGACAGGTGTTTTTCTTCACGTCATTAACATTATTCCACTGAATATACCCTCCATTGTTGTTGGAACAACAGACATAATCCTGTTCTTTTGTATGATCTGGCTTTTTTCTGACAGATTGGTCACTCAATTTTATTTTGATATGTGCTACTATAATTATTGAATTGCATATTTTTCTTTTAATCTGTTGGTTTTTATTTCATGTATTTTTGGGTTTTGATATTAGAGCCATATACTTCTGTAATCATTACATCTTCTTCATAGATCAATGCTTCTTTCATTAGGAAATATCCATTTTCCTAGTAATTTTCATTTTATCTTAAAGTCTTCATTGTTGTATATGGATATATTCACTTCAGCTCTCTTTTGCTTACTGTTTGCATAGTACATCTTTTTAAAACTTTCAATCTATTTCTTAAAATATAAAGTCAGTCTCTTCCATGTAGCATGTCATTGGATAAAACTTTTAAACCCTGTGACTGGAGTCTAGTCACACTTTTAGTCTATTGATACTTAATATGTTTATTGATTAGGTTAGATATGTGCTTGTGGGTATGTTGTATGGGTATATGTGTGTGTGTGTGTGTGTGTGTGTGTGTTACTAGAGATTGAATCCAGAACTTTTGTACTTAGCTGTACCCCCAAATCACCCCTCTGGATGAGACACAGTCTTGCTAAACTGCCCAGACTGGGTTCAAATTTGCAATTTTCCTGCCTCAGCCCCCAGGAGTTCTGCGATCATAGCCATGGATCATGCCCAACTTCATATTCTCTCTCTCTCTCTTTTTTTTTTTGCTACCGGGGATCAAACTCGGGACCTTGAGCTTGAGAGGCAGGAGGCAGAACCACTGAGCTAAATCCCCGGCCCCAACTTCATATTGTTTTTCCGTTCTTTTCTCCTCTTTCACATTTCTCTTTGTACCTAAGAAATAGTAATGTGTCATTATCAATCCCTTTATTATTTTTAAAAGTTTAGTTTTAGTTATTTTCTTAGAGCCTGTTATAGGGTTTACAATATTCATTTTAGTTTAATATAAGCTACTTCAGGTTAATACTTATTTAATTCCAATTTTGCTTCATTATAGCTCTATTTTCTCCGTATTACTGTCATACACTGTATAACAATATGTTTATGTGTTTTATAGGCCAAATAAGTATTGTTATTGTTTTATGTTATGATTTCTATAGAAATTAGGAACAAGCAATATTTCAAAAAGTCTTATACTTTATCAACATATTTGCCATTTTAGAACTTTTCATTTCCCCCTTCGAGTTCAATTTCTGTTAGTGCAATTCCTTTTAAATTGAAATCTTTTATTATTTCTTCCAAGGATGATCTATGAGAAAGTGTGTTTACCAGAGTTTCTTTTTCAGAGAAATCTTAGGTTTCGGGAAAATGCACAGAGAATGCAGAGCCTTTATATACCTCCCTCCTTTTGCAAATGCTCTTCTCTATTATCAACATCTTGTAGCAGTGTTGTTGCAGGTGATGAACCAACTCTGACACATCACTACCGCCAGTACTCCGTAGCTTACGTTGGATTTCACTATTGGTATTGTGCAGTCTATGGGTCTTGATAAACACGTAATGCCCCGTGTCTAGCACTCTACTATAATATGGGGTGGTTTCCCTGTCCTAGAAAGCTCCAGGGCTGCGCCTACTCATTTCTATTCCTGCATCTCTACTACCTGGTAACCACCGATCTTTTACGCCTCTCCCCAGTTTTATCTATTAAAAAATGTCAAATAGTTGGAATCACAATATACAGGCTATCCAGATGGTCTGCTTTCACTAAGCAATATGTATTTGAGTTTTCCCCATGTCTTTTTCATAACTAGCTAGTCGATTTCTTTTTATTTCCGAATAATACTTCATTGAACAGATGTTCTGCAGTTTTATCCATTTGCCTGTTGAAGGACATCTTAGTTCTTTCCAAATTTTGACAGTTTTGAAAATAGTCTCTGTAGAGATTTATGTGCATGTTTTTGTATAATAAGTTTTCAGCTGTTCTGGGTAAAGAGCTAGGAGTGTGACTGCTGGATGGTATGGTAGGCCCGTGTTGACTCAGGAAGGAGCTGCTAAACTGTCTTGAAAAGTGGCTGCACCTTTGTGTTCCCTCCAGCAGTGAATGACTGAGAGTTCCTATTGCTCCACATCCTTGGCAGTATTTGTTTTTGCCGGTGTATTGAACTTTAGGCATTCTCATAGGTGTGTAATAACATGTTGTTATTTTAATTTGCAATTTCCAAATGATATATCATTTTGTAAGTCACTTCATATGCTTATTTGCCTTTTGTATATCTTGTTTTTATTGTTTTGTTCAGGTCTTAAAGATCGAATCTAGGGCCTTTGCACCGAGCTTTATCCCGATTCCTATTTTATTATTTTATTTTATTTCGATTCAGGGTGTCACTACATTGCTAAATTGCCCAGGCTGGCCTCAAACTTGCAACCCTCCTGGAGTTCTTCTTTGGTGAGATGTCTCTTCTGTTCAGATCTTTTGTTTATTTTAAAATCCAGTCATTTTCTTATTGTTGAATTTTAAGAGTTCTTTCTAGATTTTTGGATGCAAATCCTTCATCAGATAATATGTTTTGCAAACATTTTCCCACAGGGTGTGACTTATCTTTTCATTCTCTTGACAGTGCCTTTTACAGATCAGAACCTTTTAATATTAACACAATCCAATTAACTAGGTTTTTTTCTCTCTCAAGGCTCTTGCTTTTGGTGTCATGGCTTGTGCTTCTAATCTCCTGTGTTATCTATCGTGTAGAAGATTCATGGTTTTGAATTTAACAATTAAGTCTGAGATTTGTTTTGAGTTAATTTTTGTAAAACATACAAGGTCTTGCCTAGATTTTTTTATATGTGGATGTTCTGATGTCAAAACAGCTATAATTTCTCCATTGAATTGCTTTTATTTCTTTGCCAAAGGTCAGTTGACAATATTTTTATAGGTCGATTTCTATTCTACTCATTCTGGTGCACTGATTGTTTGTTTTTTCACCTCTACCACGCTGTCTTGATCATGGTTGCTTCAGAGTGAATCTTGAAGTGAGGTAGGATCGGGCTTCTAGCTTTGTTTTTCATCTTCCCTGTTTCGGTGGTCTTTTGCCTGTCATGTAAACTTTACAATCAGTTTGTCAATATCCACAAAATAGCCTGTGAGGACTTTGTTTGGGACTTCCTTGAGTCTGTAGATAAAGTTGGGAAGAACTGACGTCTTGGCAATATTGAGCCTTTCTATCAGTAATTATGGTATCTCTCTTGACTTATTTAGACCCTTGATATTTTATATCAGTGTTTTCAGTTTTCCCATATATAGACATTTATACATAAAATATTGAATGTTTTCGATACTAATATAAATGATGTTATGTTTTTAATTATAAGTTTCAGTTATTCATTGCCGATATAAAGAAAGCAATTGATTTTTTTATATTAATCTTACATCTCAGAATTTTGCTATAATTGCCTGCTAGTTAAATAATTTTTTATTGTTGTTTCTTTGGAATTATCTACATAGATAATTGATTCTTTCAAAAAATCATTTTTATTTCTCTATTGAGAATCTCTCTTAATTGTGCCATTCCCATCATACGTTGCTTTAATTCTTTATACACTATTTCCTTGACTTTTTGGGACTTATTTGTGATAACAGGGTTGACATTCTTGGTAAACACCTGGCCCTCTGTGAGTCAGTTACTGTTGACCACTTGTTAAGATTTAAATATGAAGTGTTCCCCAAAGATGCATGAGCATCAAGGCAGCAATGTCTAGAGATGAGGCCTGGAGAGGTAATTGTATCACGAGAGTGCTAACTTCATCAGTAGATGAATCCACTGATTAGTTCACAGCTGAATGGACTATTAAGAGGTGGGGCCTAGTTGGAGGAAGTAGGTCTTGGGGCCCTAACTCATGTGCTTATCCTCTTT